AACATCGCATCACGAAATGCGCTGCACTAGCGCTCTCAGATCTTGGGGACACGGAAGGATTCAATCAACCCTGTACGGAAAATGCCTTGTACGCATTTCACTTACAAAATCATGTTTACAAACGACGAAAAATGATGACCAAATTGAACTGGATCATCAATATTACCCTCACCTCCCCCTTCATCGTCACGGATGATGAGGGGTGGGTCACCAAAATAAAAAACAATGGGCTTCTACTCACTACTTTAAAAGCTCCAGAAAATACGTCGTACTTAAATACACCATTTTGAGGCGAAATAAGAAATATGTTAGTCACCCTTTCAGGGGGAGAAAAAGTAAAAGGGTTAATTTTACAAATTAATGACCGGTTTCAAGTCCCACAATCGTGGATACAAGTTATACAAGGTTCTACACTTATTATTGAAGTGTTTCTTTTTCGTCCCCCCGCAGAAGATGTAAAGGTTCTGGAGTGGTTAAAAATACGGGGCTCGACATCATGCATATCAGCGTTGTCTTATTTATGTACGACCAGGGACACAGACCTTCACAAACCTCGAGGGGATCATGGTTTTTGAAGATTTATCGTATATCCTTCTTTCACTAATGGTTTTATTTTTGTCTTTCAGTGGCATTTAGAAGTTGTACATAGATGTCCAAGATATTATTTATGGATTAAACTTATTTTTTCTTTCCATCACGACGTTTCAGGACCATTCCAGGTCCCTTCATCAGGTGAACATAGTTCATAGTTCACCTGATGAAGGGATCTGGAATCTTGGTTTTATTTTTATCCGAACATTTGGCCTTAATGAGCGTAAATTATACGGACAAGAAATTGACGGACAATAAATTAATTCACCTCCCTCCGAAGGGGAGGATTTTATGTCCGCTTCGTCTGATTTGTACCTCTCTGAAGATTTGAGAAAATTGTCGGGTACTCACTCGTCTCCCCCCTAAGACTAGAGCTTCTAGGGTGGTAGTGATGGGACACATTAGAATAAATAATCATAAAGAACCTCATTACCGAACTGGTTCAACAGACCTTTCTGCTTCAGCTGGCTTCACCAAAGTTTCACCAAACTACTTTGTCATCTCAAACCGGTTCACCTCGGTTCATCCGTCCAGTTCGTCGGGCCGAACAGGTTCTTCTTACCGAACTACAGCCCCTCGAACTGGTTCATCTGTTTATCAGCGCTGTTCTAGTTCGTCTGGTCGATCTCATTCACCGCTACCTAAGGGTTCTACGGATCAAACTGAGTTACCTCGAACTAGTTCATCCATCATTGGGAGGTGGGGTAGCCTAGTGGTTAAAGTGTTGGCTCGTCACGCCGAAGACCCGGGTTTGAATCCCCACATGGGTACAATGTGTGAAGCCCATTTCTGGTGTTCCCCACCGTGATGTTGCTGGAATATTGCTAAAAGCGGTGTAAAACCAAACTCAGTCAGTCAGACATCCATCATTACCAAACCACTTTTCCGAACTGGTTCATTGAATGCTTCCGCGGTTTGAACCACTGCGGGAATTTTGCATAGAACCAGTTCGTCAAATCGAACTGCCTAATATCAACAATTTACTTCGCCTGACCATTCGGAGCATTATGGAAACTTGTCACCTATGCGTTCTGGGTATTGTTCTCGTTCTCAGTCCCCCTACCTGACTGGTTCTATGGAGCATATTGAACCGATTGCTTTGACTGGTTTCCGATCATCAGTTTGTCTACTTTCGTTGGTCTCATCTCAGACGAGGCGTTGCTATGGTTCTTTAGATCGACGTTCACCTGTACACCAACCATATAATTCTGCTCCAGTGGCTTCAGCATCATCTCAGGTTTTACCCGAGTTTTGGACTCCCTCTCAGGACACTGCACCTGCGCCAGATCTTGATATGATGTTAAGGGCAGTAACTGCAGCCTATCTGCACTACCAACTGTCTTCTTCATTTCAACCACCCACTACTTCCTCTTCGGCTAGATCTGCTGAGCATATGTTGCGTTATTCTGATGACGCTTTACCAGGCCATTCTCAAGTCTCCACACCTGAGGACAGTTTTGATCTGGTAGAACCTGTGCAACTTCATTTGACACTTAGTAGCAATCCGGATGACCTTCAGCAGTCCTACTTTGTTTGGGGCAGGGATTTTACTTCCTTACTATTCCTCCCTGGACATGTATTCTTCAGATGGATAGTACTTTGGACCAGGCCTTTAAAGCTCTAAAGCGGATGGCCTTTCTTCGCCCAAATCTTTACCGCCTACTTCACATGTGCATGGTCTTACCTCCTTCTTCACAGCTCCACCTGTGGATGAGGACGTTTCCACCTTGTGTGGTAAACGTAACAGTTCTCCCTTTATGGTGGAAGTAAGAGAACTAGCCCATGTGGATACTGCTATTCGTCGGACTTTGCCTTCTATCAGCTGTGTCCTTTCAGTTGTGGATGCGGTTGTGGCTTCAGTTAAACATGCTCTAACCGAATGCATACATTCGCAGATGTATGTCTCTTATATTAAGCTATTTCAGACTATTCTCACCCCCTTCTGCAAATTATATCATTGGAAGAGCAGTAAGATGACACAAAGTTTGTCAAACACCCTGTGAAGATTTTGTATTGTGTATTCAAACATGTGATAGGGCGGAAGTTTTGGGGATCAGTCAAGTCTCCTTTTTTGGAAGGAATATTGTGAGACCTTTGCAGAACCATGGAGGAACATCGCCTGTGTCCACGAGAGAATTGAAACAGTAAAGTAACGCAGCCCAGACAGCAAATGGGACTTCACCCAGGAAGTGCTGCCTAGTCGAACCCACCAAGAACTTTCCGGAGAATATGTAGACTCCCCAATACTGCAGCCGTCTGCATTACCCAGACTGTCAGAAGGGCTGTGCTCCCGGTGGAGAACTCAGGCACTCTCCTGATCAGCGCCAAGAGATCAGGACAACAGTGTACTTGGGATGCAAGCGAGAAATTTCAAAGGCGAGGTCTGCATACTTAGCATGTATTTCCTGAATCTTGCCAATCACGCTGCTGTCAAAAGGGACAGAAAATTCAATGATATAAATAAATTCTTTGGCTTTATCGAAAAGGACAAGATCAGGTTTTGTTGGCTGGAATTCTTCTGAGGCTGTATATGGGCCTATTCCAAAGAAGTTTAAAAGCATGATTTTCCTAGACTCCCTGGACAAGTACCATGGATGGACCTTGGAGTCGAAGCCACAGGCATGGTGTAGACGATAGTAGAAGCAACGAGCCATGCCATCATGTCTTTTAAGATATGCTGTTTGTGCCAAGGACAAGGTGTTGGGCAGTCTCTGTTGATCATTGTATAAACAACATAGATGTTTATATTTTCTTTAAGAATCACATTTTGGCAATTGTGAGTGGGAAGTGACTGGTCTTGGGCGGCAGAAAGGAAGCCCTCAGTTTCACATTTAAGACCAGCATACTTGATCCAGGCAAAGGAGTTGGTTGGATTACTATTCTGTTCCATATACTGCATATATACATGATGCAGTGGCTTCTCATAAAGCTTCTCCACAAGTGACTGACTCTGGGCAGACTTGGTGTATGATTTCCCCTGGTTTACTACCATCGCTCTACCGTCCATCAGTACATCGCCATCAACAAAATCAACCTCAAATTTCAGATTCTGCCCAAGAACCTTGGCATGCTTAAAATATCTGTGTGATTCCTTGCTTTCGTCTTGAGGCTTGACATGCATTACCCGAGGATCAACTGATAAATGAATTATGCAAGAGTATACAATAGAATTCTTTCATGATGAGCATCCAGATTAATCAAACTCCGACCTCCCAAATTGATTGGCATGTATAAACGATTGAGAGAGGATTGTGGGTGGTGGGCTCTGTTGTCAGACATGATCCTTCTGGTCAGGCAGCCAAGACAGCAGCAGCAGTTTGTGATGTTCGCGTCATCAGCTTCCAAAGTTCCCTCACTCTGATTTTTGTGATTCATGGCATTTGGGTAATGTGTAGAACCACACTGAATTATTGTGTGAGTTTTACGTATCCAACTGCTGGCTTTGCACTTGCATGACATGCACCATGACATGACACCATAACATGACATTGTTGCATTTGGTTAACTGATCTGTGTGTTGTATCATGACATGGCTTCAAATCCATACTAACATTGATTCTAACATACAACATTATTCCCATTGTGTTTTCCTTACTGTTGTCAGATGAACTCAAAAGAAATGGAATCGTACGTGTTGCATTTTCAAAGTGTTTCAGTGAAGCATAATTGAAATATTTAAGGGAATAAGCAAACAATAGTTATCATTGCATATGATCAGTTTTATTTCCCTTAAACTTTTTTCAAGGTGTTAATGTCATAGGATATAAAAGTTATAACTATGAATTCATCAGTGAAACATTTATCATGGGACCCTCAATTATAGCGGTAGTTAATGTTGTAGCTTTCGGGATAATGAACCCCTAATGACATTTGGCATTTTATATATATTTTACGTTGAATGATGTTTAATCTTCATTTCTGTCGCAAAGAATGTGGCACATAATCGCAACTCATTCAATATCATTGCGGCAATCCTGATTGCCTCGTTTGACCCGGAAACTGAAGCAACTCTCTCTATTATCGCGGTATTGCTACTTTTTTACTATGGCACGCGTTACAAGCAAATGGCACCGTCAAACATTTACTTGAGACAAGTATCAAATCTAAATAGTTTTAATATTAAAAAATATTTAATAATTTCATTAAGATTAGTAGTATCGTCATGTTTTTAATATATGACTTTTTCAAGAGCGACGAATTTTTTTGCATAATTTGCATATGTAAACAGTCGATGAGGGGCATGGTATTCCCGCTTTGCCGATGTTTTCACGTACTGCGATAATAGAGAGCCCACCATAATAGAGCGTCCCAGTATAAAAGGTACACTGCACACACATGAACAGATTTCTATATTTATCTAATTTGTCATGTGAGCCCATTTTGTGAGCAAACTATTTTGTTCCTTTCAGTTGTGTCAAATCTTATGGCTCACTTGAGGCAGACATCATTATCCAATGAGAAGGACATCAATAATTTGGCCAACAGATATGGAGTGTAAAGACAACTGACTCCTGCAGACAAGCATTTCATCTCAACCATAAATATTAGAGCTTGCAACCATTTAATTTCAGTGTCAGGATTTACTTCAAGATTGTAGGTGTGAAATATTTAGAAAATTGGTTTGATCTATTTCTTGATTATAATGATGAATTGTTCTAATAACTACATGAATATGTCTTGAAATCTGTCTGACATCAGTTGGATATCCCAAAAATGGTATGTACAGTCTTCAATAATTACCAGATGTTTGTCAACACAAGGGATGTGGTAAACTGTTTCTTCTTTTGATTCACAGCTCAAGATTGTAGTTTGTTGTTTTTTGTCACTGAAAACTGTATGAGTCTGAGAATGAGAAACCAGCAGTGTATGTTATGAGCAAAGTTACAAGCAAATGGCACTGTCAAACTTTTACTTCAGACAAGTAACAAATCTAAATAGTTTTAATATTTCAATCCTATTTCACACACATGATTTCAATCCTACATCTAGGGGACAGATCTTGTGTAAAACAAATATGTCATACTAATATCTGGAGATAATGTATGGTTCAGTGGAAGTAACGGCAGAAGAATTGCTGTTAACATTCTGTGTGAATTCTATTCTCGCGGTAATCATGTTTTCTGCTGATATCGCCATGCGGTTGCTAACCTTGCCAACCAGTAACTAGCAAGTGGCCCATGTCTGCGAGTGATCGAAATCTTGCAATGTCACAATATTGATGAGTTTATACCAACTTTTTCCCGCCCCTTCCGGCAGGTTTGCTCTTCCATACACTCCAAAACGTTACTTCCTCCTTATACTGCGAGAATGGGAGAAGCCTCATGTCGTCAATGGCGGATGGCATTGTTTATCACCGGGCTCACGAGTGGTCATTCACCTGATGGATCTAGCAGCTGATAGATACAGATGTTAGAGTAAAAGTCCCTTCATATAAAAACAATAAGAATTCTTTGTGTTATTTTTTCAGTCGATATCCGTAAGTAGCGCGAGAATAGGAAACGCCTTCATACATGTGTTACATGTTATGTAATATGCACATGGCTGCACAGCAGGAGACGAATGGCCATTTGATTTGGCAAAACCTCAGATCAAAGGGATTAACTGATAATACTAATTGTTTGATAGGCATTCTAGAAGTTGGTGAGTCAAAAATGAACCATACAACTTTATGGATGACAACTTCTTATTTATTGCATAGAGCGACCTTTCGATGTAGTTTCTTACATCATGTATGGTAATTACAGCTTTGTTTGTTTTATTAAAGACTATAATTTTCCTTATCAACACATTAATCCTGACCATTTGAAAGGACCTAAGATCATTGTAGTCTGTGACAAAATGGCGTTCAAGTCAGGACCTGTTTCACACAAGTGATCAGCTTTACATTTGGAGATTGCTTTTATATTGCATGAAACTGTATGACACTTCAACAAAACGGAGAATGCACCATCGATTTAACGTCAGAAACATCGTTATTTGCGGTAGTAAACCACATACCTATCGCAGCAGCCGCACATGCACATACACACGCATGCACGTCGTCATATGAGCAAAATATTCTCAAGCACGACCGAAAAACCCAATTTCACCTCACCTCACCTCACCTCACCTCACCTCACCTCACCTCACCTCACATACCTATCGAGTAGATATCATAAAGTACTATTCCCACCCGGTTCAGTGTTGGAAGAAGTGTGAAAACAACATACCTTTTTATTCCCCAGGTATAACGTCACATTCTACAACCATCAGATAAAGCACAAGCTTATTTATCAGTCCTCTTGGCAAGCTCTATCATCTCTCAATGGAGGATAGCATGAGTGCTGCTTGTGGATGGCTCAAGTAGAAGAATTTCAAATTTAGATATATAGTTTGGCATGAAATGCATGTGGACCCGTTTTTTTGTAAATATCTCTTCATCCAATGACCAAATCGATCTCAAACTGTGCAAGTGGATGTTTTTGACAACCTAATCACATTGTAAATCACCAATTTTATGCATTTGTATTAAAGAATCTGTCTATGTAACTGTCAACAAAATAAACAGCAGAACGCAGACGGCTTGCAGAGGGAGGGAGCCAATGACCTGTAACAGCGGCAGTGTTGGGTCAGAAAGGTAAATGCACGTGCAGTTCATGATAGTTACCTGTGCACTGCACAGTGATAGACCGTTTGGATCATTCACATTGACTACTTCTAGCTGTCATCATGAAAGCTTATTCAGATGATGTTAAACGTTTAATAAGAAATGTGTTGAATTTTTTTTTAAAAGACAGCAAACATAGCAAACCGATTTATAAGGTGTCGGATTACATGAAACGTTAAACTTTTGCTCTTGGCATGAAAAAGAACATCGTGCTAAAAATTGTGAAAAATAAACCAACAACCAATAAACAAAACCTTTACAAAAAGGTAGGCATCCAAAGTAAGATTCTTTTGACATCAGGGTCATCAGCATAGCTGACCTACATTGACGAACGTTGACCTTTATGACCCAACACTGCCGCTGTTACAGGTCATTGGCTCCCTCCCTCTGCAAGCCGTCTGCGTTCTGCTGTTTATATTGTTGACAGTTACATAGACAGATTCTTTAATACAAATGCATAAAATCGGTGATTAACAATGTGATTAGGTTGTCTGACAAAACATCCACTTGCACAGTTTGAGATCGATTGGGTCATTGGATGAAGAGATATTTACAAAAAACTGGGTCCACATGCATTTCATGCCAAACTATATGTTCATAGGCCTATCAAAGGCAAAAGATATTGTAAAAGTCAACAAGACACTTTTAACACAGGGAGTGAAATGTTTCCAGGCTATTTTGGATATGCAACTGAGCCTCATTGAAGTAATTTGACTTACTGAAAAAGATCCCTATATATTCGAAGACTGATTGGCAAAGTTCTTGCTTCGTTGTTGGAGGATTCGGAAATAGGGCAAGTAACGTCACTACACCTCATCCTGGATTTGTTCAATGGATGACAACTAATAGGATAACACATTAACTTTTGGTTCAACTAGCTACATCAGTGTGTGGACAGAAACGTATCGTCTCACAGCATTCTATAAACCTTTTGATGAAACCGATGATCTAAAATTTCAGATGTTCAACCCCCTGGACGGAAATCTCTTTTTGAAACGCACATTTTCATATGATTTTAAAAGGGAATGTGTTCACATTGCACTGGATATAACCATTTTTCAATTTTTAGGGCCAAAAAGGCTTGTCAGTATTGGTGTAACGAAGAGTCTAACACTACTTTTCAATGAATAAATAGCTTTTTATTGATGTGAATGTAAAAGTACGTCAGGACAATGTTTTCTTATAAGTAGGGCCATCTCAACTTAAGGTTTCACTCTAACATCTAATTACAAATCATAGCTGCAAGCTAGTCTGTCTCTGCTTCTTCAACCGTGAAGGACAGGGACTGGGCTACTGTCCATCTTGGCAGAATTTCTTCATTCTAAACAGTGGGACATTAGGAAGGGAATTATCCCCTGCAGTTCTTGTCTGATTGTAGTATCCCAGCAGTATAGGCTCTTTTGGATTTTTTAATGCTTGGATGGTATAATGACTTATCTAATTTGATCCTATTTCTGTGTTTTTTTACCTCAATTTATCTCACGTCTTGTACTCTCTCTCTTCAATTCGACTTGCTGAGTGGAAATGAACTGCAAATAAATCCTAGGCCTCACTTGTCCATATGCCCATGCACTCCATGCTGCCCCTTTAGAAGGATGTCTGAGGTTACTCCTAGGAAACATATGTAGCACGCACCACTACCTGCTCACGTGACCATCTCTCCGTAGTCATTCTCTTTCTTGTCGCATTGGTGTGTGGACATATACTCTAATCTCTAAGGTTTTATAAGTTTCTCTTCCATCCCTTTTCAACATATGGATAAATGATAATCCAACTAGGAAGAGGAAGTTTTGCGCTCAATGCAAAACAAAGTTTTCTACAGCGGACCCCCATACTTTGTGTGTGGATTGTGTAGGTTTTTGTTGTTGGGAGCGACGTTGCGAGCAGTGTAAGCACCTGTCATGGCTTTCATGGCTTACAAGAGGGTTGGTTCCCGTCGTCTGTCGGATAGGGATTCTTGGAAGCACGCTGATGAACATGGCCCTTTTCCCTCTAAGAAGGCCAAGAAGTGCCGCCCGACTAGGACTGCCGTCTCCTGAAGCAACAAGCAGGCATCGAGACCTACTTTACCAGCTCTACACCACTGAAAACACTACTGAAAGCTAATGGCAGGAACACCTCAAAACGATAACATCAACCCAAAGGTGTTGTCTACAAAATCAACTGTGACTGTGGTGAGGCCTATGTAGCTGAAACCTCCCGGCCCATGAATATCAGAATCAAAGAACACTTATCATGTATCACAAAGTCAGACTGAAAATCAACAATATCAGACCACATCATCAACTGTCCCAATCACAACATAATTTGGGACAATGTAGAGATATTTTCGAAAAAAACACCAGGACTTCACCAAAAGAAAACTTGCAGAAGCAGTTCAAATCTGGAGACGCAAACCCTCAATCAACAAAGATCAGATTAAAGCACTCCAGCTATCATTGCTAATTAATCTTATCAGCCATGTATATTTTGTTTCTGCCTCAAGGACTATTGGCTTTCTCTTATTGTCACTACATTATTACCACCTCACTCTTGCTTGACAATGGTATAAGAATCTATACCGAAACGTCACATCATAAATAATAAAGAAGTTGTTATCCATCAAGAATCTCACTTTCTTAGGACCCTCACACCCACATCGGAGAGAGAAGATTTCTTGGAAGTCTCTTTTGACTCCTACTTGTCTGAGAAATTACGTCATCTTCTGGGTCCCAATGAATCGCCATCTCCTGACCGCTCTGTTGCCTCCAGTGTTGTCTTTGACCAACCTGCGACTTGGGGAAGAAACACCTGACTTACAGGATCTCAGGGCTTGCATCCTGTTGTCCCGTTCAGTAATTTCCCCTTCTGATTTGGCAAATCTTGGTAGGAATCTTGGGACTCTCATCACTCATTTGCTGAACCCCCTTATCTTGGACCTTTCTTTGAATCAGAAAGTGTTCGCCTGGGAATGCTCCCTCACATGCTCAGCCGAGAACTTTAGTGATTCGTCCGGAATCAGGTTGTTTCACTGAATCCCCTTCATCCTCTCGTATCACCCGGTGCAGCAAATCGTCATACTTCAAGGGATCGTTCCCATTCGTCAGATCAAGGGAGTTCGTCGCATCGGCTCACACAGGCTTCGTGTACCTAACGTGGGTGCACGGTAACACGT